CTGTGTGACCACGCACAGCAAGAAATTCGAAGGTCGAAGTCAACTGTAGGTCCAGGTACCTCGCCCAGGCCCTTGGTCGTGTGCATTGACTTGTATGAGTGCAGGTACCCAGTCAGAACGGTGGACCAAGGAGGATACAGTTTCAACTCAATCCAGGCCGTTGACGACAATCGATCTCGGCCATGTCTGACTTGAGGACTGGGGCCCAGACCCCACCGTTAACACTACATATTGGGCTGACTTCCTGGCTTTGACATCTAGACTCTCGTCTGGAGTCTATGCTGACTCGACGCTCTCACGTCAACGCCGGCTCTATGGTGTCTTGCTCACGAGACGCTGCTGGGAGGACTTGATGATCGGCGCTCGTCGCTGGTTCGTGGTTTGAGCGTGCTGTGCGACCAGCATGCTGGCTGGCGCACTACTGTCTGAGGGGTTGTCGACGTGGCAGATGCCACGTGTCATCTTCATGGCTGCTGCCACGTAGTATTGCTGCTGAGGTGGAAGGCGCTGGGCGCCTGTATTGCCGTTCTGCTTGACAAGTATTCGGAAGAAGGATTCAGGACTGTGGTTTGGGTCGTGATACGTACCTGGTGTCTTCAACTTCGTCGTCACATTGCTGCTTGATGACTGGTCTGCTGGTGCCACGTGGCACTATTGGTCTACATTGTCTTGGATATCCGGATCTCTGATTGAGACACGATTATGCTGATAGGAGGAGGAAGTGACCGAAGAGGAAGTGGGCTGTAGGGAGGAGACTTTTCCACCCTCTCAAAGTCTATTCTCCCTCCTCCCTCTCTCGTCTGTGTATGTCTTCTCTCTCATTGGGGATCATTATTATTTTGATTTATCAGCAGCGTTCGTCTACTTTGTCTTTCCGAGTGACGACTGATTATCACGACTGGGCACATTGCAGGAATATAAATAAAAAAGAAAGATAAAAGAAGAAAAACAGAAAATTTTCGAAGTTGGGGGGGAGGGGGGAATCCATGAAAAAGTAAAAAGAAAAGAGAGAAATAGGTGAGAAAGAGAAAAAGATTGCAGTGGGAGGTGGGGGATGATGGGGTTGTAGTTGGGGGGGAGGAGGGCGAGAGAATGGGAGAGGAAGGGATGAGAAAGATGGAGAGGAGGAGAAGAGATTAGTAGAAGATGGTGAGTGGGGAGAGGAGGAGAGAAAAAAGATGGAAGAAGAGTGAATGTTGAAGAATGTTGGAGAAGAGTGGGAGGGTAGGGGGGGAGAAGGGAAAAAAAAAAAAAAAGAGTATGGTCTGTTTGCTTATGAACCCACCACCCCAATAGAAAGGCTACTTAATTGACACTGAGAACTTGGCAGTCAACTGCATGCCCGATAAGGTTACCCTTACCCTTGCTGTTGAGCAGGTATCACAAAACGTGTACAGCTTTAGAAATGATATTATGTGCCATGCATCCATACATGAAAATTAAATAAACAAATTATAAAAACCAAACAAACATAAAATACAAGAACTACCCAAGAGCCTAGCTCAGTGGGTACACCGATGAACTGTTGAAATACAGACCTCTGTTCGAATCTGGATGATGGAAATTGACGAGTAAAACCAACTACTAATGAATTGCTTGGGGCCGGTCAGCTCAATGATAATATCTCAAGACCGTCACCCTTTTTTCAGTAATAAGAAAAAAAAAAAAAAAAAAAAAAAAGAACTTATGTCAGCTTGTAGTACACCTAGGATTTCTTAATTTATCCTAGACAATTCCCTTCCCAACCACAGAATGAAGTCCAGACTGCCACACATGGTCATTGTTGAAGTGCTGGAGAAAGCCCTCCAGGCCCCTCTGGTCCGTAGCAGTTATGCTGGGCCATTGACTTTTTTTTTTTTTTTGACATTGATTTGTTACACTAGAGATGTCTGAAGAAAGCCAGCCATAAATGTATGGTTAGTTTCGAGTAGAGGGCAGTCTTACACACGTGTTCACCGAGTCAACAAGCAATTCGGCGAATGGCGATGAACGTCAATCAGTTAGTTGTGAGGAAGAATCACTGTGCAAGGTACAGACTCTGAGGAGAAGTGTGAAGCAAGCCAGCCATAAGCATAGTTTTCAGCAGAGGGCTCAGGGCTGTCCTACTACAAGCACTTGTTAACCAAGTCAACCAGCAATTTAACCAGCAGGCGAGTTGGGCGATTCATCAAATGGCGATGGACATTCATTGAAGAGTAGTGCGCAAGAATGATGTCGAAATACAGAGGAGTAAGTGTGGAGAAAGCCATCCACGAACATAGTTTTCAGCAGAGGAAAGCACTTTGCACACTTGTTCGCCAAGACGACCAATGATTCCTACAGCAAGCAAGTTGTTGGCCAATTCAGCAAAACAGTGACCAACATCAGATGGTTAGCTGTGAGCAAGAATCATGCCACGTAATAGAGGACAGGTGTGAAGAAACCCACCCTAAAACAAAGTTTTCAGCAGAGGGCAGCTCTACACACTTTTTTGCACCAAGTGCAGCGATTTGTCCTGCAAGCGCGTTGGCCGATTCAGCGAACAGCAACAAACGTCGATTGGTGGGTGACTTGTGAGCAAGAATCATGTCGTAGAGTTACCATGAAATGATGGGTTTCCCACATTTGAAAAAAACGAGGGGTAATATGTTGAAGTGCGCCCCGTGGCTGACATCATAAGCTGCCTGTCTGTCTCCAACTCCTCAGTAGCGGTTAAGAAACAAGCAAACACAGAAATTTAAAGCTATTTTGTACATTCAGAGTATGTTAGGTCGCTTCTGACAGGCGAATGGGTGTAATACTCAGTTGGTAAGGCAAATAAGTTGCGTCCAGAAGATCTCGGATAAATTTCTCATTGGGCGTATGTTCTTGCCTGGGCAAACTTGGTGCCTTCCCATCTAGAGATACTCAACTGGCGCCCCAGACCAGCATTTGCAGGGCCATAGTCAACATCGTCGTGTTTCACTCAACACTGCTGGCTAGCAGACACCTCTAACGTAGGCTGGGTAGGGGTAAATGTGAGATGCAACAACTGGCCGCAGTGCTACGGACTGCTGGTCTTGCCCCCCAAGTCCCCCATCACCGAGGCGAGAGGGCCGTTACAGCTCCACTCTTGCCACCCACACTAAGAATACTGGCGCAAAACCTACCCCATGGACTAGGGAGAGGTACTGGTTGGTGGGTGATCTCCGTAGTGTACACATAGTAGAGATGAAGAGCCGAATAAATGAAAAGAGGAAGTGATGATAGAGTTGAGATGAAAAAGAACAATGAAAAGATTGCACCTGCCTGGTGGCTGAGCAGTATACGCATGCAACCATTGATAACAGGTCTGGAGTTCAAGTCCTTGTTTATAGACTAAACTTTTGAGAAGATAGATTGCTCCTGAAGCTGTGAGCAGATTTATCTCAGGCTTGGAACACATCTTATCTCCTGTGAGGGCGTATCCAGGCCATCTGGAACCTGGAAATGGCCTGACTTTGTATGGCATATGCAGCAGCAATCATGATGCCACAAACAAGTCCTGTGGTTGCTCGCTGCTTTCCTGGGCCCAGAAGCAGTGCAGTAACGCCCGTTAATAAAGAAAGACCTACACAAACGTTCCGCAGGATGCGGAAGTTCTTAAGCGCTCGTAAGCAAGTAGAGCAGTTCACCACATGCCACCAGTACCTGTTAGTTGGGTTCGGCAAATACATGGAACCGATGTTGCCCTGCACAGCACTTGAGGCAGCCACTGCTGCTGCTGGTGTGGGATAGACATGCATCCCACCATTGACTMGYGATGCGTCATCCACAAGCTTGGASGTCCTATAGCCYTCATAGTATGGCATGCCATGGCCAACTCTATCRAGCCATTTCCKATATTCMATSAGAAGGAGATCGGATGTMTCCAGTGCGAGGTACAGCCTGCTTAGTGRCCTGYCTCTCAGAAGYSCACGAGCATATGCCTCTTGAGATGCGAGCARGCCCATGTCTTGTTCGAGGAYYAWTGTASCATTCAGATGKAWRAACCAGMGAGGAATGYRATTTATTATRTTAYTCCTCAGGTACSCTCTGCTGAACAGCCTGGAACGGCCAAAGCCAAGAGGAACACAGGAAAAGATGGATACCTGATATAAATTGCCAGCACCCTTCTCATCCACCTGATTGACATGATACCCTTCGGACGAGTAACACAGGAAGTTGATCACATGGCATGGCGCAAGGAATTGGGACTCGAGCACCATAACCTTTGCTGGTAAATTTGGTCGGTCTGTGATGGGATAGATGCCCTTGAAGCCGCGATCTGATCGTTCAACAATCTGCATTTTCATTGGACCTGCATAAGCTCGACGCCCACCACCCGGTATTCCGTCATGCGAGATGTGGAGGTGGGCAGGATCCATAATGTTCTCAATGAGAAAAGAATGATCGTAAGGAAGGTCCGAGAGTGAATCTGAAATGTTGAAACCTGGATATGAAAAATCCGGAAGCTTCTGAAGAGCTTTATCTAGGAAGTTGGTGTTCGAGGAAGATTCGCTGTTCCTGTTCTTTTCGTTCTCATCGCCCCGAAGCAAGTCTCTTGTACATGTCATGAAGACAAAGATGTATCCATCCTTCTCCACAACAGGGTAGGTTGTCAAGCACGCTGCTTGTGGGATCTTTGCCCCCTCTGCCAGCTGTGGAATCCGCATGCATTTCCCAGTCTCGCCCTCAAACTGCCAACCATGATATAGACACTCTAATCGCCCACTGAACACCTGCAGCAATTACACAAACGAAGATTCATCAATCAGCTAGAAATTCTTCCAAACATGCTTCTGATGCTCCAAGCACAACACACAGCCCCAAAGACACAAGAACATGAAAATTATCTCCCTTCATCATCATCATCATCATCATCATCATCATCATCATCATCATCATCATCATCATCAAAGGTTGTGGTGCTGAAGGGTCCCAAACAATGTAGGGCATATTTATGTATCTGCAATGTACGTTGGAATTCCAGTTGCCTTCCCTTGAACGGCATAGACAACACCTCCATGGTTTTCAAGTCAGCCACAGCACAGTCATTGTTCGGTTAGATATCAGAGTACATGCATTAATGGCATAGCACAGGCAGTAGCCTGGCCGTCATACAAGGCAACGATTAGGCTCTACATACTGCACTGTTGGGGGCTCATTCCAAATGTCTGCAGTCTCCACCAGTCGCCGCTCCAATGATCCCGATGGCTCTAACAAGTCCTCTAGGGACAGGTCACCTACAGCTGGGGGCTCCAGCAAGTGATCTGAGAGCACACCATTGAGGCCTGGAGAAAGGGGCATAAGTGGTAACCGGGCTTGGGAAAGAAGGGACGGTCCAAGGTGAGGCAGTAGGGAAGGCAGATGCGGGGAGCAGAAGCTGATTATTCGGGCTCCTGCTGAAGATGGCCGTGAGTCGTGCAAACACTGCACAGGAGGTCACACCACGTGTTTCATGCACACACAAGCCGGTTGCGCAATAGAAATGACTGCTACATTGTGGACACCGGACTTGATATGTGCTGTCTGTGGCCCATGAGTATTGACCGTGGTGACATCATTACCTGACACTGTCAGCATGGCAGGGGAGCAGGTCCGTGACCCCCCCAGCATTGCTGCAATGAACCGTGAAGTGCAAACACCCACACATGACTTGCAGCACACTGAGCTTCACTGACACTTCACACCGACCATCACAAACAGGATTCAGCAAGCATGAAGATCAAAACTGCTTCTGATGTCCTTATTATACAAAGCTGTTTATGGCTGCTAACGCCAGGATCAAGAACAAGCAACTTTGCACCCCCTCTCCTTCATGCGCTCACTCTATCTCTACCTCGCTCTCGCTCTCTCTGTGCTTCGGGCACACACACTCTTCTCTCAACCTTGGATCGCTCACACTCTCTTCCTGAACACACTCGCCTATCGCCAACTTCGTCTTCAACCTTCGCCTGGTGGCTATGGATGCCGTCGTCCTCCTGCTCTACCCTAAGTACGACGCTCACCCTCTGCGCCCAACCCGACTGTCCGACCCCATACTCGCACAAGCGCTACAGCAGAGCTTCGGCAACATGTGAATCGACAAGCGCCCCGTCACTGCACTGTAGCAACTAGAAATAGCAGCTGAAGTGAATCAATTCAGCTCCAGATTGGTACCGGTCGATTCGACCAGTCGGCTGCAGTTTGCCAGTTCCGGGATCTACCGGACTTTCCCAGGATGCTGCGTCAAAACTGGACTCCAGATTGGTACCGGTCGATGCGGCCTGTCGGCTGCAGTTCCGGGATCTAGCGGACTTTCCCAGGATGCTGCATCAAAAGTGGACTTTGAGAAATTGGGAATGTCCTGTCGGGTACCGGGCCCACGACTTCTAACGACCCGAGTCGGGTACTGGGCCCACGACTTCTAACGACCCGACTTTCAGACCCTACGGACCTAAGATGCTTTGACATCTAGGTCTTACTGCACTCCAATGGACCGGGACCTATCAGGACCAATGAGGACTCGGCAAAGATGGTACTCCGGGACAGGGACTTGGGATTTTGGGAACGGGACTCGGGACATGCAGACAGTCTAAAATCCTTTCAGTCCCGCCAGCCTAAACATCAGCGCTTTATCTGTCTATCACATGCTCTCCCCTACTAGCCCACTCATAGTACAAGACTATGTGAGGGGCGGTCTCTGTTAGCTTGTCCCTCGTGTACAAGCATTTATCCTTTGGTTCCTGGTACTGGAACCGGACCTTATATTGTCTCTGCGGCCTTCCTGTTCTTCCATATCTATAGACATCCTCGTCTACAGTGCAGTCAATGGTGTACCTGCCATCCATTTACTGAATCTATTTATGACTACCATCACTTGACCATTCCATTATGACTCTTAACCTTCATGTCTGTGAAGTCTTTGGAGACCGAGTCTCCAGGGTCTGACGGTATAGGCAACGGCTTCAGCAAACTGAGTGGGGGCTGCGTGGAACTCTTGTTCCACTGACAGAATTCGCAGTCGTGAATGTACGCAATGCAGTCATGTTTCATCCCTACCCAGGTGTATGAACGCAGCAGGTTGGCATAGATCTTCCTCCAACCAAAGTGCCCTTTCGAATCATGGCAGTCACATAGGACTAGACCGTGAATCTCTTCGCTCTTCGGGATACATAGGTGATCCTCCACATCACTCCTTTCAAACAAAACTTCGTCGGCTATCGTATATTTTGGTACTTCATGGGGGACCTGCTTCACCTTACTCGTGATCGCGCGAAAGTGGGGGTCATCCAGGTATGCAGCCTTAATCCTTTTCTGCAGTTCACTTCCTGCGTCAAGGTAAGTCACTATTGCTCCAAAGAAATCTGCCCTCTTACTTATGTGCCGATGACAACATTATGCTTCCCTTTGACTAGCTTCAATTCGAAGTTGAGCTCGTCAATCCCCCCAACCCCATCTTGTTAGTTTAGTTGACATGGGGGCCTGGGCTTTCACCAAGCGTAGTGTCTCATGGTCTTAGTACACTTTGAAGTGTCGTCCTGACAAGTAATGTCGCTAGTGATCGAGGGCTTCCCTCAGTGCGTACAGTTCTCTGTCGTAAGTTGATAAGTGTGTCCGCAAGTTTTCGTTCATCCTTATACCGCTACGTAGACTGTTAAGACAAGCTACAGTTTGGCAATGAGACAAGGATTTTCAAGAAACTAAAGAAGTCTCTGATGGAGTTCATGGTTCTATGATCCATCTTTGCCTTTTATAGTCACAACATATGTAAGTCAATACAACATTGGCGCTATTCTCCAACAAAATGATGGGGTGGTTACAGGCCCGTTTAGTTTTCCCTACAGGGTAACCTAAACGACATGAACTAAACGGGCATGTAACCACCCCCATCATTTTGTTGGAGAATAGCGCCAATGTTGTATCGACTTACATATGTTGTGACTATAAAAGGCAAAGATGGATCATAGAACCGTGTACTCCATCAAAGACTTCTTTAGTTTCTTGAAAATTCTTATCTCATTGCCAAACTGTAGCTTGCTTTAACAGTCTACGTAGCAGTATAAGGATGAACGGAAACTTGCGGACACACTTACGGTAGTAATTAGCCAAGCCTAGAAACGATCCCAGTTTCGTCAACGTGCGCAGCGTTGGCCAGTAGAATAGCAGCAATCTTAGCATCCACCAATTTAACTCCATCCTGGTCTACCACGTTATTGGGTGCATCAGTCCCGCAGAGTGGACCCTCCCAGCTGCGTCATGCAGGAATCGGTATAAACGGGCGAATAACGGGAGCTTCGCCGCTCCGGCCAAGTGCGCCAGCTACACCTCCATTGGGTCCCTACGACAACGTCGACAAGGTAGGGACCCGTGAGGTACAACTTACCTCCACCCATGGGAGTTGTCACCATCCCTTGTGTGGGTGTATCCTCGTCGAGCTACTGAACCACATGCGGAAGGTTTTACCTGCAATCGCAGAGGTGGCCCAGCCGAGGGCGTTTCTCGTACACTGTAGCATAAGGGTTACACGTGGTCACACCTAAATTGAACCGGCATGGGAACCGACACTTGAGGCACTTATCTCCTAGCATGGCCCTACGCCGATCAATTAGGTCATCAAACTACCACGCTTCTCAACTTCAAAGAACAAAGATAAAACAAACCATAAGCGCATGCCTGGTCCTTTTCCAACATTAAACCCACAACTCAATATCGTGAGTAAACAATAGGCTAAGAGTGGACGTTTTTACACACAAATACACCCTTCCGAACTAAAGGCAGGATAAAAAGGGTGAAAAGGGGGTTAATCCATCAGGTATGAGGACAGCGCGGTATCCGACCGTCATTCTCACTGTTCCCAAAGTGTAGCTTCTCCCTCATCTCCATATGCATCCAATCCAACAACATGATAGTCATATCAAGCTTCAGAAACTAACATGCATGACACACACACACATGCAGACAAAATCACATATTGCATTGCACTAATGGAGTAAACCTTACCATTTCTTGTATTCCACGTCTTTTTAAAGCATACCAAGCCACAACCATCGTCCAACCTTCAAACAAGACAATTAGTCCCTTTGAATGACCGTTGAAAGAAACCAACAAGGTGAAATCTCAAGGAGCCGCCTTAAACCCACAGGGCTAAGTTCTTAGGTTGAGGTACAAAAGCAAGTAAAAGTTGAGTCACAAACCGACTTGTTACCACTTCGTAACAAAAGTTGAGAAAGTTCAAAGCGTTTGAAGACACTCCCAGGTAGATGTGACTTGTGTCACAAAACCAAAGCAGGCGCCACCTGTCGAGTTAATGGAGATAAACTTCGTATCACACTCCTAACTGACTAAGTGTATCCTCCAGTAACGATATCAAACTAGCAAAATTATGGGCAACACTTCCCCTACGAACATGCTTTCGCAAAATATCTAAGTTGTTTATCATTTCCGGCCGGATTAAATGATCGGAATATTCAGCCGCTTTATCCGGCATGCAGTTCATCCGGAATTCCGGATAAACCGGAAAGTGCCCGAAAAAAAATAAAAATTAAAAATGATTTTTTTTTTTTTTTTTTTTTTTTGCGCTTACATAGGACTGCCACAGGTTCAAATATGGGAGTTTATTGCGAAAACCACATTAAGTATCCAATATAATGTCCTCCCTCCTACTCTCCTCCTCCTCCTCCTCCTCCTCCTCCTCCTCCTTCCTCCCTCTCACTCTCCTCCTCCTCCCTCCTACTCTCCTCCTCTTCCTCCTCTGCTTCCTCCCTCCTACTCTCCTCCTCCTCCTCCTCCTCTTCTTCCTCCTCTGCCTCCTCCTCCTCCTCCTTGGCCTGGGCCCTTTCCTCCTCGTCTTCCTCCTCCTCCTCCAGCGACACCCTTTCTCCTCCTCCTCCTCCTCCTCCTCCTAATCAATCAATCAATCAATCAATCAAACAAACAAACAAACAAAAAGAACAAAATCGTTATGCAATCGAATGAATCGATTTGATTGGATTTTGATTTCGATATCAAGAACCAATCGATTTGATTGGTTCGATTGGGTCAATCAATCAAACAAACAAACAAACAAAAAAATTTGTTATCGAATCAATCGATTCGATTGGTTCGATTGGATCAATCAATCAACCAATCAATCAATCAAACAAACAAAAAAAAAAACAAAATCATTATCGAATCAATCGATTCCATTGGATCTTGATTTTGAAATCAAGATCCAATCGAGTCGATTGATTCGATTGGATAACGATTTTGTTTGTTTTGTTTGATTGATTGATTGATTAATTGATTTAGTAAAAAGAAAAAAAAAAGTGGCTTGCGGGCAGGGCGGCAGGTGAGGGGGTGTTGAGGCGAGACAGTCCGCCTCCCACTCCCCTGACTTGCCGCCCTCCCCCTCCCCCCCCACCATCTTTCGACTGTCCCTCTCTCCTCCTCCTCCTCCCTCCTACGCTCCTCTTCTTAGTCATCCTATTCTCGTGCTCCTCCTCCCTGTTCACCTCCTCCCTCCTACTCTCCTCCTCCTACTCTTATCGTCCTCCTACTCTTATCCTCCTCCTTCTCTTCTCCGTCCTCCTCCTCCTCCTCCTCCTCGGCCTGGGCCCTTTCCCCCTGAGGCTCGTCTTCCCCCTCCTCCTCCTCGTCCTCCTAATCAATCGCTTCACCTGATAAAACTATTCAACAGGTTCAGCACAGAAACTTCGGAGGGAACCGGTCATACTACACGGTTCGATTAGTCTTTTCGACTCTTTCGTCCCTATACCCAATTCTGACGAACGATTTGCACGGTTGTATCCACGTTGAGCTCCCAAGAAGAGGTTGTCCCGCAACTAACCCCCCTCACCCGCCGCCCAACCCCCCTAATCCACTTTTCCTTTTTTTATTCCGAGCAACTTTCCGGCCGCACCACGCGCAGGCGGAGCCGCGCGCCCCGTTTGCCTGCGCATGGCGTCCTGCTCCGGAAGCCACTAAACAAAAAAACAAATAGTGAAATTTGCGGCGGGGGGGGGGGGGGGGGGCCACAAAAAAAAAAAAAAAAAAAAAAAAAAAAGGGAGGGAGCGGTGGGGGGGGGGGGGGGGGGGTATGAAAAAAAAAAAAAAAAAATAGGAAAAAAAAAAAATTGATTGATTGGTGGGGGAGGGGTCCTCCCTCCCCTCCCCCCGGCACACACACACACACACACACACACACACACAATCAGTTTTATGTCTGTCTGTTTTCCTCTTGTTGTCTGTCCTCCCTCTGATTTTTTATGAGTATTTTTGCTTACCAAACAGAGCACCCTTAAGTAGTGCCAAACAGTCGGTGGTTCCTCTTTTGGAGTGCCTACTGCACTCTTAGGGGGGCTGCTCAGTTTGGGATGTCTGTGTTGCCTGTGGGTGATGACGGATGCTCGTCGGAGTGACTCCCTGGCTAAGTGGGTGGTAGGAACCAACAGTCTGTGGGGTTCAATCGTGATGTGAGTAGGTCATGTGCTGCTTTGCTCCGTGTTGGATGTGTGGATTGCCTCGTCTGCGCTTCGCCGCTGCCTTGTTGCCTGTCCCGCTTACTTCGCATGTGGTTCTTTGCAGGTTGATGTGTTTTTCTGTGTGGTGTGGCCATGTTGTTGGTGTTGCCTTTGCGCTTCGCTGCTCCGCTGCCTTGCCGCTCATCCGCTGGTTGTGCCTTCCATGTCCTTTGCTTGCGCGCCTTGTAGTTCACTTCCCTTGTAGGTGCTGCCTTGTGCTCCACTGCATGGTAACTGTGCTACTCGACCGCTAGCATTGTTGTCCCCTGCTGTGTGGTTGCCTTGCTTCACAGCATGGTTGCCGCAATGCTTGTCCTGCGCGCCGTGTCATTCCTTGCAATCGTTTTTGGCGTTGTGCACCGTGTTGCCTCTACTGTGTTGCCTGGTGCTCCACAGGGTTGCTGTCCGCTGCTGTGTTCCGTTTGCGGGACAGTCTGCCTTCAACAAGGGTCAAAGGGTTCATGACCCAAACCATCCAATACGAAAACTCCGCAGATTGTCGAGGGTTCAGCCTCCTGATGAGTCGGTGCAACTCCGACGAAACAGTCTGTCATCATGTGTGTTTGTTTATTTTTTTCGCTCTCCGTTTTTCCAAACTAGGTATCGCTACTTCGTGCCCTTTTCACTTGTTCCTCTGTGTTGAAGACTTTCTTTTTCCTTACTTCAGGGCGGGACAACCAACACTCGTGCTTGCCAAACTTGACACCCGCCTTTGCGGCTTCTCCTGAGTCTGTCCCTTGCAACATGTCGAGGGGTAGGTTATCCTCCACTAGAAGGGTAGGTTATTCAACACTTTTTCCACCTTCTTCCCCCCTCCGATTGAAAGTATGTTTGTATCCCCTCAACATACTCCTCTACTCATTTCTCGATTGGAAGCCAGTGCTCACTATTGGCTCAACTTATACCCTCCCCCCTCCCCCGTTAACCCCAGTTTTAGAAGGTGGATGGAAACGGGGTGCAATTTTGTCATAAGCGGGTGGGTGTGAGGGGGGTGTACCCCCGTTGTAACCCCCTTACACCCCGCCTTAAACCACCTTCACACCCCGCTTAAACCCCACATCTTGCATTATACCTGCCTTATGCAATCCCTTGTACCCCCCCATTCACCCCCCCCCCCTCCCCCTCCCCCCCTCATACCCCACACTGGACATTATACACCCCCCTTGCACGCCCCTTACACCTCAACTTATACCCTCCCCCCGTTAACCCCCAGTTTTAGAAGGTGGATGTAAACGGAGTGCAATTTTGTCATAAGCGGGTGGGTGTGAGGGGGGCATACCCACCAATTCCCCCCCGCCCTCCCCCCTTGCACCCCCCTCACATCCCACCTTATAACCCCCCATTAACCCCCCTTTTTAGAAGGTGCATGTAAAGGGGGTGCAATTTTTGTCATACGCGGGGGGGTGTGAGAGGGGTGTAAGGTGGGGGAAAACCCCCTTTTTGAGAAGGCCTCGCCACTTGTGTCACCATCTCTCAATCGCGGGCTTGCCACGTGTGTCGCCACGTATCCCTCTCTCAATTCCATTCTCTCTCTCTCTCTCTCTCTCTCTCAGCCTCGCCACGTGTGTCACCGTGGTACAGGCACATGGTCATCCTTCAGATTGATCTTGGAAAAAACCTTGCACCCACCTGCAACATCCAACAGAACATCTAAGTTTGACAATGGGTAAGCGTTTTTCCTTGTGATCCGGTTTAGAACACGATACTCAATACACATCCGGAGTTTGCCTCCTATCCAAGGAACAAACAAAACACGTACACCAAATTCAGACTCACTAAGTTTGATCCAACCCCAGTTATATATGTAATCGATCTGTTTTCAAAGTTCCTCCAACTCAATCGGTTTCATACTGTAGACACAAACTTTGGGAGGAACACTACCTCAATTAGCTCGATTTTGTGTTGGACCGGACACATGACAACAACACGTGATTTTGCTAAGATAGTCGGAAATTGATCCAGAAGGTTGTGAATATTTGCTGGGATTTCCGAAGGGGGAGAATCACAATCACGTGAAGAAAAATCAGGCCACAAATTTGCAGCCAAAACAACGGAATCTGAAGTAAATGCAGCTTGAGTAGAACTAGAAGGAGAAGCATCAAAATTACATGAAGTAGAGGTAGTCACATTATTAGAAGTAGATTTATTAAACGCCGCAATAGTGGAGGGTACGTGAGTGCGCTTAACAAAGACTATGTACATCTGCTCACCTTTCTTATGCGTGCGCCATTTCGTGTAAAATTTCAGCGTATTGAGAAGATTCACTAGGGACTTTTGCATTTCGTCCAAGAAGAATGAACGCTCGTTCCTCAAACCATCATGTACCACAGAGTGTCAACCCAAGCCAATGGTTTGTTGACATTGGGCTTGAAGTCAACCCAAGCCAATGACCACTTCAAAAGGACGCTCTTTGAGTACATAGAAGTTCAGTGGTGTGTGATGCTGCGATCAGCATCAAAGGTAGTGCATACACCTTTGACTGCAGGGATGGAGGTGACAATCGCTTGGTTGCCAACCAAGGTCTTGCAAGCATTCTGCAGTTCCACTTGCTTCATTCCCAGGCCCTTTTTACAAGTTCCGTGTGGAGAATTTTTTTTTGCAGTTGAACAACAATCAACCAAAGCACGGATGTAAGTACCACAAATGAGAAGTTTCAACAATATCAACTGCACCACCCCTTGAGCATGACTGTGCCGAAGTTTAGCCCAATGCTCCAACTGATAGTGAAAGCCCACTTCTCTAGACTCCTCCCAAGGCTCAACATAGAGGACTTGGACTGCATCAGCCTTGGCATCAGTGTCAGAAAGGGCATCAAGAGTAGGCCGCTGAACAGATTGAGGTTCCTTTAGGGGACTTGCACTTACTGACTCAGCCTGTCTTGCTATAGAGAGTGCTTATAACTTCTCTACGCCCTTGACTGATTTCCCTGCAAACGAAAACAGTCTTGGATGACATGACTCTTCTTTTGTCAATGCAAACATACTTCGAGTTTCAATCCTTTTTCCCATTCTTTTTTACTGATCCGGAGGTCTTCCCGAGGCCTGGTTGAAGCATCCTCTGGACTAGATGGGATCTTCGCTCCTTTAGGGAGATAAGTGGTGTTCTTCATTGAATTTTGGTGTGGCCCCTTGTTAGTCAAGGCAGTCCATTTAAAGGCATGCAGCTGTTTATCATCCATAGTTTTAGACTCGACGGCTGATGAAGAACAGGTTGTATCGGCGTCTTGCTTGAGATCGTCACCTAGGATAGAGTCATATGCGTAGGTCTGATCCTCAGCCTCCAACAGATCGTGCACTGCAAGACGGTTTCTGACTCCAAACCGCTTGCGGTTCATGGCCTTCTTGCCGCCAGTTGTGTGAAAGACGTCTTGTACCTCCAGCCTGACCACATCCTTTATGAGGGTTCGCTGGTCTTTGTAGTTGTTGAGTCCTAACCCTAAGCGACGAGTGAGAGCTTGAGCAACCGCGCGTTTAACAACATCTATACAAGATTGTCTAGTCAATTCCAGACCTGGAGTAGCAAAAAGCTTGCTTAGGTATTTGCTCCAAAGATTGCATAGTGCCCGCTCACATTCTGCCTTTTACAAAGTCAAACTTTCTTCTTGCTTTGGCAGCAGCGTGTGGATCATCATATGGCTCGAGTAGGAGATCCGCAAGCATTGCTATTGGTATAACTTTCAACCATTTAGTCAGGTCTACCCTAGGAGAGCCTGCCTCCACAACTTGGGGTTCTGTAAAACTCCTTACGTTGGGTTCTACGTTGGTGCCCATGACCATAGTTTGGTTTGCTGGCAGAAGCTGCAGCACCTCAAAATATGATGGCATGGAGCTGATCCATGATGTGATGTCATCCTTCCCATTGTACCTAGGCGGAATCTGTGTTGCCTTCTTGTCCACATAGCGACCCTTGTGACTTGGAACAGCATTTGCTGTGTGGACATTCGTGGCTGCAGCAGTTGCACTATTTCTGGCACTTCGCTGCAGCGAGGCTAGAATCTGCAGCTACTGCAGCTCCCACTTGGCTGATCACCACACTTGAAGACGTAGAAGTGATGGTGACAGGGGCAAGGACAGGCTGACTTGCAGCGTTGGGGGCAGGGAAGGGGGAAATTTAGGAACTTGGCCCCGCTGCACATCTGCAACTTCTGCAGTTGATCACGGTAATCTTATGCAATTCTAGCCATGTCGTCCCACACATTTTTAACCTCGTCAAATAGAAGCGATATCTCGCCCGAATAGTATTCAAGAAGCCGGACTTTAACAAGGGCCCTGAGGAGTGGAGCAACCTTTTGTGCAGCCTGAGTATCAGTTAGTGCAGAGACAATCCTAAAGATGGACTCCTGGGCTGTCAGATCATCTCTCCTTTTGTTCTCCTCCTCCTCGTTCTCCTTCTGCAGCGCTTTTCCACGTGTTTTTTCCCCCTTTTGCGAGGAATGAGCCCTCGCAGGGCCCTTATCAGACATGCACACGTTCCGGGAAGAGGCCCTCAGCAAGCCCTGTGCCCGCCCTAAGTGAAGGCCGGCCTGAGTATTCACAAGAGGCCCAAATTTGACATTTTCCATATGTGGGTACTCAGGCAGTTGCCGCAAGCCAGTTGGTTAGGTGGAAGCGTGAGACAGTTGCCGCAAGCCAGTTGATTAGGTGGAAGCGTGAGACAGTTGCCGCAAGCCAGTTGGTTAGGTGGAAGCGTGAGCCTCCCTGCACCGGGTAGTTGCGCCTGGGCAGCACATTGCGAGGCAGATAAATCATGAAGTGGCCAAGGGCCTACGAAAAAGCAGCATTGTCGGCGTACGTACCCCCGGGGCCTGTGCAGATACTGCAAACGGCAGAAGTCTGGGGATGTGGGGGGTGCCCAACTGTACGGGGCCTAGGGCCTCAACTGCAAAGCTGGGCCTGGGCGCAGGCACCGGGGCCAGACCGGAAGCTACTGGAAGCTTCTCGGCCAGGCTCACACACAGCCGAACAGAGGCAGCCAGAGTCTGGCATTCTGGCCCAAGCTGGCAATGCGGTCATGCTGCTGCGCTGCTGCGCAATAGGCTGCATGCTGCGCTATACGGCCAGGGGCGCGCACGGGTGTTGGAGGCGAGGGCGCTGCAGGGGAAGCGGGGCGCTAGCGGCCATAGCCAGGCTGCAGGGCACGGGGCCGGTAGAGGGCGATAGGAGGGTCTTCGGGAGGAGGCGCAGAGAAAGAGAGAGTAGGTGCCGGGGGGTGATAAGGGGACACGAGATACGTACCTGGTGCATGAGGGAGGTCGGCCATGGTGTTGACGTCATGTACATTGGTTTCCAAAGTCGAGGTGAGCCTGTTGCGTGAATGCGGTTGTAGTAGATAGGCAAGTAGTGTAGGCTGGGCGCTGGGCGCCAGACAGATAGTAGCGACATTGAATACTGTGTTGGTATGGCCTGAGGGCTTGAACATTGGCTTACGAGTTCATTGTATTGCTCTTATTTGGATGGAAAGTCGATGCATTTATGCGCTCTGCTTGTACATGACTATCTGGACATCTGTGTGATTATGCAACTTGGTTTTCTGTATATCGCTCTCGCTCATATTCCTTGCAATTCAGTATCGAAGCTGGTTCGTGATCGCCTACCTGTCGCCGGTGACATTGTTACTTGGTGCGCTGACGATGCTTCTGTGCAGTGAGGATACACTGGCGCTGGCTTGTGAAAGCGACACCCGGGTTGAGGGGTGAGCCGCTGGAAGGCTGTGGAGACAGCGTGGGAGCTGTGGCGAAGGTGGATGGAGATGATGATGAGAGCATGCTGATGTGGCGTTTTGGCTGAGGTGGCACTGCATTGCGTTGTGGGTGGTACCGAAGCTACGACCGAACATCGAAATGCACATTGGCTCAATTGGTGAGAAATCTGTGGTTGGGGGCAGCTATCTCCAGGTACGTTGTTCCCTTTTACCTTATCTACCCTCTCAATCTCTTCTTATCGTGAGGAAGTGAGTCAAACCTTGAGTGTCCTCTCTTTTGTGTAAGGAGTCGTGAGCGCTCTACCTTGAGAGACAACATTCTTCCCGGCGGCGCATCTGGCAGCGGAGGGCGGTGCCTATAAAGGGCCTTGGTCGAAGCACGGGTCACGGTCACCATGCCAACCCATGGGAGTAGTACACGCAGGCCATGCTGCTTTGTCCTTTGAAGGCTCTTTGTTGTGCTGACAGAAGGGGTGTGCGGACTGACCAGTCCTATGCAAATGCTTTCCAGACTGTCTATAAATATTTTTGGCGAGGGTCTGAATTGTCCAGTGGCTGTGGTCGTCGTCCTGTCTGCTACGTTAAATAATTCCTAGGGGCCTTGGGGGTTGTCCTTAAACTGCCTCTTGATCAGCCAAATTAGTCAGACGTAAGGCTCGTTGCACGCGAGGATAAAGAACGGGCATTTCTGGGCATAAGCATATTCCTCGGGCACAGGGTGGGCCGTTAAGGCACACCTTAGACACCGCTGCTCGATGATGCGGACAGGCACGTTGGATACAGGGGGGGGGGATTCCAATTGAGACTCAACTATCAATCACAACTATACCCATTGTGCATGCATCTGCTCACACAATTTATTTTCATTTTTGATTAGTTGGTGGATAGACTACTGACACCTAACAGACAGCCTAGATTAGTACTGTAGTGTTCTACCATAGCCAGTATTGATCGAAGCTGCTGTGAGTGAAACTAATCAAGGTAGGAGTAAATCATGTGTACAGTTTGTCGAAATGTTGTTGATACCGCTTGATCAGTAGCCTAGGCAACTTACCGAATATTTATTTATTGTTATTTATTTTTCAATGTGGTCAGACACGCGTTGTGGTAGGCTCCAGCAAGAGCATTACTGCAAACAATGTCTGCCTAGCTGATGAGTGGACCAGGCAGTGGTGAGGACAGATCTGCAAGAAGAAGGGTGACATGTTAGGAGTCCCTTGGGATACCTATATGCACCAAGCTTTACCCCCAGGGGAGAGAGGGCTCTGCGACAAGAGGCAGTAGCCAAACGCTTACAAAGGGCTAGGGAAGTGGCAACAACAGTCGAGCGAACACTACCAGCGACAACAACCACTGTAGCAGCTATGGTTACTTCTGCTGCTACCTCAGCAGCTACATCTAGTCAGATGAGTATAGGCATGCCACTCAGCTCGCATGCCACATCCAACACAGTGGCAACAAGCTCTTCCAGTCAGATGGCAGGCTCACAGTTCAACTCGCCACCTCTACGCACTAGGGAAGCCATTGAACTCCGACAAGTGGAGTTGATCCGCTTATGGCTAGAGAAGGAACTTAAAGAAACTATTGAAAAGAAAAATGAGATTAGAACTAGGAAAGCTAGACTAGAAAATAGGAAGGCGGTCAAAGTTGACGTAGAAGGGTTAGATGACGCTGGCATTGATGACAACACGCGGATCCTCAAGGCAGGTCTCCTGTCCATGCATCTATACATGGACAACAAACTGGATGCTGTCCAGGATACCCTTGACCAGATACTGAGCAACATGCAGAGAATAGGAAGAGCTTTCCCATCTCCAATAGGTGGGCCCTATTTCCGGCCTCCAGTTTTCCCATCACCGTGCATGTCCCGGAGAACACCATGGAGCCAATCAGGTACCGCCTCCAGTGAAGCAGGCCGCCATGATCACGCGCACGAGCGGGGAGGGCCGGATAGGGCAGGAAGTGGGCCGTTTGCCCCCGCCATGAACATCATTTGGGGGGGGGGGGGGGGCACAAAGGGCAGGAAGTGGCCTCTCTGTTCCCAAAGCTGGGGGGCGCGCGGCCCCACCAAGATCATGACTACGCAGTCGCGTGGGGAGGGCCACGTAGGGCAAGAAGTGGGTATTTTGTTCCCAAGCCATAATATTACGCACACGCATGGGGAGGGCCAGATAGGGTGAGAATTGGCTTTCCAGGTCCGCCGGTCTCCTCACCGGTGATGACTAGCCTTATTATGTCTCAAATTAGCAGTTCACCAAGCGGTACTTCAGCAGTGGCAGCACAAACTGTTGCTTCTTCATCTTCAGGAACAGCGGCTGCAGCTACATAGCAGCCGGTCCCGCCAGTGGGACAGTAGCCTTGGTACCCCAAGACCCCACTAAAGCCACCCTCCACCTTCTCAGGTGATAAGAGGGATGAGGCTCTTGACACTTGGTTGAGGATGGTTCCAGTGTGGGTCAGGGGAAAGAGGACGTTGGTAGAGGAAGAGGTGATCATTGCCACATCCTATCTGGAAGGTTCAGCAGCATGATGGTTAGATGGATTAGTGGTTTCAAAGGGATTCGGAAGAAACATGAGTGATTGGGCAAAGACCCATACAGTAGAGAGTTTTATGGACTTGGTAGAAGCGCGTTTGCACAACCCACAGCAGGCCCAGTAGGCCACTAATGCGTTGACCCGGCTTGATACGAAGAAGTACAAGAACGTGCGCGAACTTACCTCCACCATAGAACGTCTCATTATAGTCATTGGAGTTCGCTATGATCCGCAAGTCTTAATGACCATGTTCTTGAGATGTCTTCCCACAGACGTCCGAAACTTGCTAGCCAGCAAAGCTCGCCTCGAGTACCACACGTTTAAGACCTTTGGCAGAAAGACCTTAGACTTAAGAGGTCACGCTAGGAGGTGCTCAACAACCCTCTACCGATGGAAGAAAGAAGAAGAGTCCACAAGAGTGGAAGAAAAAGGAAAGTCGATTGATGATGGTTGATTCCGATGGGAATCAAATTGAGATCAATGATGTATCTGATCATGTAGATGGTTCAAAGTTGGAGGGCGAGGAGTTAGCTGAGGGTAGCAGCCTCGCCTCCTTGGTAAGGGTTAAGGCAGGTGGCCACAACAAGGGCGGTCAACCAAAGACTCAAGGGCAGACCAGAACCCCAACAAGACTCTGTCTTGGATGCGGGCGGGTCTAAATCAAGATGTGTGGCGTGATCGATATTCGCGAGGTGCTTGTGTCAACTGCGGTGAGTACAGTCACCAACAGTTTAGGTGCAAAAACACAAAGGTTACGCAGAAGATCGGTCCCAAAGGTGGCTTTGGAGGATCGTTCTCCCAAAGTGGAACCTCTGCGAGTTCCAGTTCGGGAAACACATCGGGTCAATAGAAGTTATAGCTGCTTCTACACCTGATGAAGTGGGTGACGTACATTCCCCACTTCAAGAGTTGGCCGAAGTTGTAGACTCTTTAATCACCCCACAAACACATACTGACCCAACGATACTTTGTTCATTGGATGTGTCTGAGGCTATGTGACCCCCACGGCCACGGATCCTGCGGCCTCGTCCGCGGCCGAGGAGGCCAGCCGCTACCCCGCGGCCTAGGCCGCGCAACCGAGCAAATTTCTGGCCGCACCACGTGCAGGCGGAGCCGCGCGCCCGAAAACGGGGTGTGCGCATCACCTGTGCATGACGTCCCGCTCCGGAAGCCACTAAAAATTACAAAAAAAAGTGAAATTTGGGGGGGGGGGGTTGGTGCATGACCAAAAAATAGAAAAAGTTAGAAACAAAAATAAATATTGATTGATTGATTGTTTTTTTGATTGATTGATTGATTGATTGATTGATTGATTAATTGTTTGATTGATTGATTGATTGATTGATTGATTGATTG